ATGGGATAGGTGACCTGGGCGGGGGGGGGGGTGGCGCTCTCTCTGCATTTATCAAGCGAAAAATCTCCGCAAATTTGGTGTCCGACATGTAAAAGAATGCATTAATTTCCAAAAAAAAAAATGTGTACTTGGATTAATTCCCCTTCTTAGTTTGAACACTATACTTATTTCGTCTGTACAGTCTAAAGTCCTCCGATTGATTACTGGACGCCCGTGTTACGTTAGAAATGCTAACTTCCAGAAGGATCTACTCATGCCAATAGTTATGGGTGAAGTGAAAAGACTAAGTAAAATACTATCAGGTCTCTTTTTATGCGTTGTTTTTTAAGCGGATTTGAATTTATGCGGGTTTTAAAACCATTTTTTTGCTGTAGCGATTTTGCTTCTTAGAGAGGTTTTATTAGTTTCATCAGTGTGTAAGAGACAATGCTTCTGATAAATAATTTGTCTTTGTAAATATTCTTACATAATTCATGTATTTATTGTGGCATTTTTTTGTTTTTAGTTAAAATGCAGAACAAAAGTTTTACATGGAATAACAAGTGTAGAAGAGAAGAAATAAATTGTTTTTTTTGTTGCTTAATATTGACTCACTGGATTTTTATGCTGTTTTTTATTTTTTATTTTTTACATGGAGTATCTGAATTTATGCGGTTTTTGAAAATTCTGGAACGCATCCCCTGTTTTTGTATGAAAGTAAATAACATTTTTATGCAGCTTTCTGAGGAATGCAAGTACCGCATAAAACAAGGCCTAAGGCTATCTCCGGAAACTCCAGGAGAACCCTAACGAACTAGCTCAAAACCTACTACTCCACAGAGGTTATACCCGACTGAAAAAGAAGTCCATAAGAGACAATTTTGCCGCGGCCATACACTGAGAAAAAAAAACGCGTTGTAAAAATAAAAAAAGTTTATTTGATTACCGTTTAAAAATGTTCGTTTTTAAATCAAGTGAAAAGTCTTAACAAAATGGATTTTTTCATTATACATACACTACGTATAATGGAAATATTCAAATTAATTAATTAATTTTCACTGCACGAAAGCATATATGTATACAAAGCATATGCAAAGCGGTGACAACACATACATACATACATATGTACATACATGGTACGACATCATGCACTAATCGCGCGCTGTGATGTTGATTCAAACTCAACATTTGAAAACACATTTACATGTATGGCTGTAGCTGAGTGTGCAACGACGCTTGATACAATTGGTTGCTGCCAAGAGCGGCTGGGTATAATTACCATCAGACGGAACATAAAATTCAATTTTTTTCTTCTTAATTTTTATTTCGTATAACGAAAAAGCATCTGTGCACTTCGCAACGACATATTTTATAACGTACATACTCAAATTTAAAACGAGTTGGGTTGGTGCTCTTTCATATGCGTATTTTTATAAATTTAGCACGTTTTTTTTTTAATTCTAAAATTTTTTTCCCTCAGTGTACTAGCACGAGCGATATATTTCACCAATTGTAATTTTGCACTCAATATATTTAATTTGAAAAAATAAACGATTTCCAAGCAGTGGCAAAGAAAATCACAAACTTTTAGTTTTTAGAATTTTCATAATTATTGTTAGATTCGCAATTTGTAATGAAAAAATTCTTGATGTAAGGCGAATAAAAAAAATCAAATCAGCTGTTCAATTAACACCACCTGGTATGAAATCGCTTTGATTAGCAATAGCAAATATAGCAATTTGTTTGGAAGTCACCCGTATAAATGCATATTTCAATCTCTAATAGCTATTATATTTTTCTAGATACGGACGCTTGCTATCATCGAAGTACGGGGATGGCATTTCGTCGCCGTCTCGATCAATAACAGGCGAAGAGTTGCCGAATGCAAGACTTATTTCACTAGTCGTTTTTGGGGAACTGGATGTTCCGGATCCACAATTTACATTAGTCAACATGCAGTGGGGTCAAATATTAACACATGACATGAGCATGCAGGCTGGTGGAACCCAAGCCAGTAAGTATTGAGCCTATTAAGAATGTTATCATAAATAGTTCGTTGCTTCAAACTATTCGTTTTACAATCAATAAGGGAAACATCCAACACGTTGCTGTACTGATGACGGTCGCCTTATTGCCACGAATGAAGCACATTCAACATGTTATCCTATTGTGATACCACCTAACGATCCCGCCTACTCCCAAGTGGGTACAGAATGCCTAGACTTTGTGCGAACTCTAACAGACCGTGACATTAATTGTTTATATAATAATGGTCCAGCAGAGCAATTGAGTGCTGTATCATCTTATGCCGATCTCTCACTTGTTTACGGAAATTCTATACAGCAAAATAGTGAGATACGGTCTTTTGAGGGCGGCCGAATGTTAGTGGATCAACGAAGTGGGGGTGAATACCTTCCCCCATCCCGAAATGCCACTGGTGATTGCGATGCCGCCCCGGCCGGTGAGGTGTGCTATCAAGCTGGTGACATTCGGGTAAATCAGAATCCCGGATTAGCCATTTTACATACCATTTTACTGCGAGAGCACAATCGCATCGCTGATACTTTGGCTAAACTGAATCCGCATTACAACGATCGGACACTATTTCAGGAGGCACGTAAAATAAATATTGCACAATATCAACATATAAGCTACTATGAGTGGTTACCTATATTCCTTGGATTGGAAAATATGCTAAAGAACCGACTAATTTACAAAAGCGCATCTAACAATTTCATCAATGATTTCGTTAGCTCTATTGATCCGTCCGTTTTGAATGAACATGCAACAGCAGCATTTAGATATTTTCACTCTCAAATCGAGGGGAGATTAGAGTAAGTACATATAGCTATGTTCATTGTAATTGCAGCGCCAACCTGCATCACATTGTTGCAGTGGCGTAACTATATCAAATGAGGGGGGAAATTCGGTAGAGTTTAAAAAACATTAAAATTTTTTGGTTTACAGGGACGAATAAGTATTGAAAATGCGCTTTTAATAACTTTACTCATTTTTAGTTAATATAGTTTGCAGGACGAATTTAGATGATGAGGTCGTGCGTATATTAGTCCTAAAACAAAAAAAAATATATTGAAAATTTTCAAGGCTATTTCTTCTTCTTCTTCTTTTTTGGCGCTGTAACCGCCTAAGCGATTTTGGCCGAGTTCAGCAAAGCACGCCAGTCGTTTCTCCTCTGTGCCAACTGACGCCAATTGGAAACGCCAAGTGAAGCCAAGTCCTTCTCCACCTGATC